TTCAAGAATGCCTGGTTATGAAACTACTAAGATAATGAATGAATTTTTGTCGTGTTTCTTGTAAAAAAATTGACTGTACCCTGATGCCATATTGTCTAGATAATTATGAATCAAGCTAAATAGAAGATTTTATTAATTATTAAAACATTGCAAAAACATCAAACAACTCGAAATAATGACCTAAAGCAAGAGACATCATGAAGAATTTTTTTTTCAAATTTTAAAAGCCAGGCGACACTGCAAAAGTAACTGCAAGTTAACTGTCGCATGTAAAATAAAAATTGTAGACATTTTTTGAGACGTTAGACATCACATTAGCTCCCTGATAAGTTGCGAATGTTGTACATTTATTTTACTATAAAAGCAAGATCAACTGGAGAATGTGAGATGGTGCTGCTAGCAGCAGTTATAATGAGAAACATGAACTTCACCATGGTTTATGCCATTATGTACAGTGATATGTGTACTGGGTACGCTACATCATGTATCATCCTATTCTGGGTCCTTGACTTAAAGTTATATAAAAAGATATTCATTGGGTTGTTTGACACAATTTGTTATGAAGTGAGGGTTTTAAACTGTGACGGTGATTTTTATGTCTCTTCCTGATAAAGATGTATTATGCACATTTAGTATCATGGTAAAAAATGACAGACAAATCAACAGATCAAAAGCATGTGATTATATTTGCTATCTTTAATCCAATGTTCATGCATAAATCAAAAGCATAGGCTACAGGTAGGTTATTAAAAAAATTTTGCTCATTAATAATTTATTTATTTGCTGCTGAATGGAAATTGCCTGTGACACAAACCTATAGCTTTCATTGAGGTAGAACTAGCTAAATAAAAATGGAATTTATATTTTTTAAGTAGTAATTGTAGCTATATTGTAGATATATTCTAGGAAATAACAGATTTAAATTCAACATAGGCTATTCCTAAGGTTATTGTATTAAAATTAGCACAGTCAGGCCATTCTTCTCCTATACCTGTGATGTACTATAGTCACAGCAGGCCCGTAGGGGGGGGGGGGGGGGGGGGGGGTTCGAAAATACCGCCCCTTATGCTGGGAAAAGGTCCACTCTGGGTAAAATTTGATCTAGGTACATGAAGTTTTTGTGTAAAAAAGGTCCACTTTTTCAAAAAAAAAAAAAAACCTTTTCAAAATTGCTGGCTATGGGCCTGCACAGCTAGGTTATTTATTCAGTTCTGTCTATTTTGTTCACTGTAAAGTGCTGATATTATGAACCATATTCAATCTTCTTCACTATTCAGAGGGTAGGGAATACTTTTTTTCATTCCGCTTGATTAGCCATATTTTCCAAGTGTGAATTTGCATTATTTAAGCCCAATTTTCTGCATGAAATGTGATTCAGGAATTCTTGGTGATTAGTGATTGACCTGAATATATATCTTGGTGATTGGTGATTGAGCTGTTTTAATCTTGGTGTTTGATGATTAAGGGGGGGTATCCCCTACCCTCTATTTAGTACAGACAACACAGGGCAGCTCTCTTCCATCCACATATGGTGGACAGGGAAGAGAACCACACTTAGCTTCAGCAGTGTAAAACAAGGCCCCATTTTTGTCCTCATGACCCCCAGCTACCACTTCTGGAGCTTCATCAAGGCAGACAAACTCTGATCTCTGCTGTGTGTCATGATTTGATACCAGGTATCCATTGTACTCTGTTGTCCACCCAGCTGGACATGTCTTCTTGGCTGGTATCATCACATGACTGGGGCGTGTTTGGGTGTAGCATACAGCACAGGGGGCATCATGGTGAACAAATCCCTGCAGATCTCCTGTATTGGATGTTGAGAATATGTTAGGCTTTATAACCTGATATTCTACTCCATGTATGTAAGAACCTGAATCTTGTCCTCCATCTTGGTATTTCCCCCACTCTGGTGTCTGTGGCAAACACAGGTAATTACTGCCTCCTCCAGTTTTAGTATAGAAAGTTCCAGCAGATATCCCTGCAGATATGAAAATTAGTTATGACATCACTGACCTTGTCAATTATGAAATAAATATAAATGTATATACATATATACAAACAACCACTTTAATATTATTATTATTATTATTATTATTATTATTATTATTATTATTATTATATTAAAGTTGAATAGAACTTCACTTATCAAAGAGATGCACTTTTTAATAGGCCCTTACCTTTGTACAAAAGCTTTGAATGTGGTGAGCAAGTTGTTCTACCCCAGCGTGTATAAACTGCCCCACCATGGCTGGTATTGGCTGGTAGACCTGAAAATGTACATTGAATCTAGAGCACCATTATGTATTAACCATCCCACAATGGTTTTGGTGGTAGACCTGGAAACATGTACACTAAAAATAGACATCAAGCATAATGTTGCACAGTAATCTTTCTCCATATCGCCAAAATTATGGTCTCTTATAAAGGCACACAAAGGATAATTATATATATATACCGGTATATTATGATTTTGATTACGGCCATTCATCTGTCATTTTGTTTTAGGAATAATAATTCTTTCTATTAGATACGTTCAACAAGAAGCAATCCATGCACTTAGAACATGATTTAAATCCTATTTTGTGTGACTTTAAGTGATTAGTTAAACTCTCATAAAATCTAAAAATAAAGTCAGTGTAGAGGAAAGAAGATTACATTCCCCATATAAAAAATCATCAAAATTAAAAAAAAAGTGCCTGATTTAGTTATAGCACCAGACAAACCTGTAGGTGGCACCCCTTTCTGAATTCCAATTTGTCCCAGCATTTGTTTGAGTGTATCCAGTGTTAGAGATCCTGGGTCCCCTTTAGGTCCAGGTGCATGGTCCCTTAGAAAATTGAATAAGTATATTGACACTGTTATTACACAAAGGAATATATATTTATAGAATAATTAACCAATCATTGATATGAATTAAAAACCTGTTATCTTTGAGTTGAGTATTTGGAATTACATATCAAAATATTTCAGAAGTTTATCTCATGGAATGCTTAATATTTCTTATTACATGTGAATTTTCATGATATTTCTCAAGAAGTGGATACCATAGCTCATAGATTGCGTTATTGTCTAATTTTTAATTAAAACTAATATAAATATCCAATCATAATGTTGAATTACAAAACAATGAATATGTCACAGGCCAGATCCCAATTGGGTCTTTTCATTGTTAAAACCATTATGAGCATGTTTATTGGCCAAGTAATTTACAGATGAGCTGCCAGTTTGTTTGCATGGCATGTGTAATTAAATTGTAGATCAAGGTATATCATATTAACTTATGTATACAGGTCTGGCAAATAAAATTTAGTTAAAAAACATGGGATGATGATGCTTTTATTTAAAGAAAAGGATTTGTATAGATAAAAACATATAGTAAAGGAATATTTTATTAAAGCTACTGATTTTAGGAAAAAGTCTGTCCATTAATATTTCATACAATTTTTAGAAAATCTTTGCACTTTCTTAAGAATATATGAGAAGTACAAAAGAAAAGCATAAATTGTCCGCCACCAAATAGTTAAAGGGATGATAACTCTTCGTTTGGCCAAAAAAAATGTATTTTCCTGGAGTAAACAACAATTTTCCCATACTTACCTATGGTTAGTGAATCCTTTTTTACATTCAAAGATAGTCCCTGGTTTTTTCTAAGAAGTTTTTTTTTGTTATGAGATTATAACAGAGTATAGCCATCAGTGGAGGTCATGTGGTCTAAAGACAAGCTCAGATATAAGAATAATAGCTATAACTGCCGTTTTTGTAGTAAAACAGAGTATTTTATATTTCTATGAGTTGTTCACAATGTTTTTATTGTGAAATATAGATCTCATATGAAGAGTTATTATCCCTTTAAACTTTGTAATATTTGAAAGCAAATCTATTTAGTAATCAGGCACCTTGAAGGGGATCCAGATCCTGCATTTTTTCAAAATGTATTAGGTCCTAACAAAAGGGATTTTTTCAATGTCCCATACTCCCATAGGTTAAAATGTACACTAAGTGAAAGAAGTTGCTGAGGTCAATATTTTTTCACTTGAATAAAATCCACTTTTCTGTTATTAAATGACCAGTATATTCTTGAGAAAATGGACATGTTTTCGTAAGATTTATATTAATGAAACATTGATAATATTTCTTGCCACGCCTTGAATTTCAGTTTTCAATTCAATTTATTTCTGTACTGGTACATAGATTATCATGACCTTGTACAATATGAAATACTAACGACAGTACAATTGGTGCTTTACCATTTCTCTAGTCGTTAATTGTTTTGCCTGTTTGTGAATGAAAAATATATGTCTTCATATAATGGACAGATGTCCTAGTTAAATTACTCATAAAATATTCTAGCTAAGCGGTGTGATTATAAATTTACCAAAAAAAAATTAATTGGCACTATAAAATTAACATTCTTGTACTTAATGATTTAATCAATCTAAATACTTTTTCTTTAAACGTTTATGCCAAGCTGCAATTAGGATCTGACCTGCGACAAATATATAGCTATCAAACTAAGGTTTACCTGTATTCCATCTCTACCATCTCTCCCGGGTAATCCCTGTGGTCCCTGAACACTGCTCCTTGAGGAGTTGACAACTGAAAAATAAATCTTAGTGATAATAATTCATATAGTTTTCTTTGGATAATAACTTTGTCTTTGTGGAATCAATTAATGTATGTCATAATGGCATGTCACCTACAGTTACCTTACCAGTTACAAGGCATCAGTCAACCATCACAACTTGGGGTCAAACATAGCCCAGTGGTGACCTCACCCAAAATCAATAATTGTATGATACCAAGAAGTACAGGTAAATTGAAATATGAATTAGCATTTCATTTTGCATCTGATATTTTACTGTTACTACTAAGTGATTGTTCTTCATGGTTTTTGTCATATTTAAAAAGAAAGAAAAGGCATCATTTGATAAGACCTTATTTGGTAGCAAAATGTTTTCTGCTTTAAGCCATAATATACAGAGCAGACCTACCGTTACCTTGTAGTGGTGACTGATATCCAAGGAGTCCAATGATTTGCTTGAGACTCTCTACTGTTAAACCTGGGTTCTGTGGAATAATTTAAGATATTTGTGATATAAAGTGGGGACGGTTTCACATTTTATCATTTTACACAAGTTGAATGATAAAATTCAATAACATATACATCAAAAATTATTTTTATGTGATGTTTACTTGTCGTCATTTCAAAACTGATTCCAATTTACAGGTTTATAAGTCAAATTTCCACAGCTTCATACTCTTGAAGCAATGGCTAAATATTATATAATTATTATAAAAACCATAATATGGCATACGATTTTATTTAAGAAAGAAAAGTTATTCTAAAAGTCATGTAGTTTGTTATAAATGAAGATGTATAGAGTAAAATTACCTGAATTCCATCTTTTCCATCTTTCCCATCCTTGCCATCCTTTCCATCTTTCCCAGGGGGTCCCTGGGGTCCTTGCACACACCCTGAACTTGCCACTAAAACATAGGACACAGATGCTCAGTTTCAGCATGGGGATACATTCTTATGTTATCTGTCACTTAAAATATTTTCATAGAAAGCAGGATTGTTCCACTGTGAGTGCTGTGCATTTTTTTTTTTTTTTTTTTGTAAACAATTTTTCTGACATTGAAGGAGATAGTTCACCCCAACTTAGGCTAGATTGATAACAGTCATGGTAAGAAGAAATAATTAAAATACATTCACTAGAAATTATATAAGCATCTGGGGTTTTATGCTTCCTCACATTTAAATTGGAACCATATCCCTTTAATCCTGCAGTATTTTCTCACCATGATTTATGACATTTATATTAGTATTGTTACAATTTTATAGAAAAGTGTGCCAAAAGTCCATTA